GTATTAATAGCACTTTTATTAATAAAAAAAAAAGGTACAACTAAAAATGCAATTTTTGTTAATTGTGGCCCCGGTCTCCCCTAGGTGAATGCACAGTCATAATATCGTCGTGAATATACAGTAAAGATTTTTTGTGAGATATTAACTCTGTATAAGATATTGAATATAAATTAATTCATTATTACAAAGTTTTATGCACGATTTGTGATCATCATCGAAAGTAAGTTAAGTGTTGTGCAAATAAAAAGCACAAAATCATCTGAACACTGTCTGCAGGTTTCCTATGATAGGAAAAGAAAAACTCATGACAATATTTTGGTAAATCTATTTTGAATTTATTGGCCGTTATTTGTAGGGATTATTACTATATTGACTCGAATTGCATCTGTTTCAGATCACGTATATATACTCAGCCCAACTGAGTTAAATTGTCATCATGAGAATCTTGCTGATTTAAATTTAAGTTAATGTTCTATGAAGAATAGCTCTCTGACAATATATCATTAACAAGCCTGGAAATATTATGTTCAAAAGCAATAAAAAACATCAATAATAATGTATAGTTTATAAAACGAGCGACGAGGTTCGCCACCCGTCACGTTCTGTCTCCCGGAGGGGCGAAAAGTGGATTGCGGAGGCTACGCTGAATGTATGTGGAGCAATGAATGATAAAATGGATGAAGTATGCGAAATGATGAATGAATGAGGAATAGATGTGTTATGTGTAAACGAGACGAAACGAAAGGGAAGAGATGTCATTGCACATGGCATGTATACCGCTTACTGGTCTGGTGTAGACGAGACCGAGCGGGCATGCCAGGGAGTCGGTGTCATCCTTTCAGAAATAATGCGCCAATGTGTGAAAGAGTATGAATGTGTAAGCCCAAGGCTACTGTGGATACGAATGAAAGTGGGCTTAAAGAAGTTGTTTGTGCTAGAGGCGTACGCCCCAGATATGTCTAAGCCCACTTATATCCGAGAGCAGTTTTGGGACATGGTAAGGCTGGTGTTGATGAAATGTAAGGAAAATGAAAATATTATTATGTTAGGAAATTTGAATGGAAGGGTTGGGGTGAAGAGGTCTGGTTATGAAAGGATTTTAGGAACGTTTGGCGATGAAAGAATAAATGAGAATGGTGATGACCTCCTCACCGTATGTGTGGAAAAGAATATTTTTGTGGCGAACACTTTCTTTCGCCATAAGAGGATTCACATGTATACATGCGAAAGAGGGGATGATAGAAGTATGATAGATTTCATAATTGTGGATGAAAGAATGAGGAGCGCAGTGGTAGATACAAGGGTTTACCGGGGGTCCAACGTAGGGACGGATCATTACTTGGTCTTATGCCGAATTAATGGTTTATTCAGGCGTTGGCGGCATCGGACATCTGTATCTAGCACTGCGTTACAGCGTATCAAAATAGAGAGGTTACAAGATGAAGGTGTGAAAGTATAAATGCAGACTGAGGGAAAATATAAATGGGTTGAATGAATTATGTATGGATGATTTAGACTTGAAGAATGTATGGAATAATATTAAGAAAGTTTTGGTGGATGCAGACACCGAAGTATGTGGATGAAAGGAAAAGTAATACGTTGTGGTGGGATGATGAGGTACGGATGGAAGTTAGAGCAAAGAAGAGAGCATGGCTACATTTACTAGCAACCAAAGCTGGTAATTCTGGCGGTATGAATGATGAGATTGAAAGAAAAAAGGCAGACTTTAAACGTATAAATAAGAGAGTGAAAGAAGTTGTTGAAAAAAAAAAGCAAGAAAGGGTAGATAAGAATTATAGAAGGATATCTGATATCAGATAACTTCCAGGAAAATATTAAAATGTTCTGGATGCTCGTAAGAACTGCCAGGGGAAATTCAAAACAGCCTACGACGAGAATGGCTGCATGCTGAATGATGAAGTTTCGAATTTAAAGAAATGGAAGGAATACTTTGGAAGTGTGTTTAAGAGTGAAGAGTCGTCTGAAATAAGTGAAATAGAAATTCCGGAATAAGTGTAGAGAGGTAGGGAGGTAAGTGTAGATGAAATAATGATAGCAATGAAAAGCATGAAAGCAGGTAAGGCAGCCGGATATGATAGAATATCACTCGAAATGCCAACGGCTGGAGAGGGTGTGGTTGCAGGCCTGCTGTGCACCTTGTTTAATTTATGTTGGGAACTGAAGCGGGTACCGGAAGACTGGTGCAAAGCCGTTATAGTCCCAATATATAAGGGAAGGGGGGTCACAGCAGGACTGTAAAAACTACCGTGGTATCAGCTTGCTTAGCATTGTGGGTAAACTGTATGCTAAGGTGTTACTTGGAAGAGTTATGGAAGAAACTGATGGAAAAATTTGGGATGTGCAAGCTGGATTTAGAGAGGGGATGGGGTGTACGTATCAAGTCTTTTCCATGCGCATGATTGTGGAGAAGTTTTTGGCCAAAAACCAGAAAGTTTTTTGTGCGTTCATGGACTAGGAAAAGGCTTATGACAAAGTGGACAGGAATGTGTTATGGCAAACACTGAACTCATTTGGGTTGAGCGGTGGCTTGATACAGGCATTAAGGTCTCTTTATAGGGACTCTAGTGCTTGTGTCAGGATTAACGTGGTCTACTCGGACTGTTTTGGCATTCATAAAGGTGTCAGACAGGGATGTGTGCCTTCCCCGTGGCTGTTTAACCTATTTATGGACAGTTGTTTGCAAACTTTGAAAGTTGAAGTATGTGGGTTAAGAATGGGTGAGTTAACCGTCAAATGCCTTTTGTACGCCGATGATCAAGTCATATTTGCATTGTCGGCGGCCGAGTTGCAAATAATGGTTACTTTAATGAACTAGTGATTGAAAGAAAGGGGTATATGACAGTAAACGCAAGTAAGACGAAAGTGATGGTTTTTGAAAGAGAAGAAAGTAAAACGTTATGTGAAATAAGAATAAAAGGGGAGATTGAGCAAGTGGATGAGTTTGTGTATTTGGGATGTTTATTTAGCAGGGATGGTAGATATAATAAGATATAGAACGATGAGTGAACGCAGGAAATCGAGTGAATGGATTTCATTTTCATTACGAATTCATTACGAAGAAATATATTTTATGATATCGGGTTAGTAGAAGCACTAGTTAATATGACCTAAATGTGATTTATTTACCCTTTGGCATATGTAAAAGGATTTAAGATGTACATACACAAATAGGTAAGAGCGAAATTATTCAGAAAGGATAAAATGAGGGATGCTCTGTGATAAGTAGTATTGAGTGATAGTAAATCTATGTACATAAAATATAATGCCATGATGGATGTATCGTACACATATCGTACAGCAATAAGAGCACTTCGAGATTGTGTAACGATAACAAGATTTATAATTCTACAGCATAGTAGGTTCATATATATTCATGGACAAATTTGGAGGAACGCAATAAAAGTGTGTATAAAACAAAATATTGTGGATATTTGTGACAATTAAGTTTATTAATTTTTGAGTTGATTGGAATTTTCTCATTATTCGTTAATTTAAAATTAGAAATATCATCTCATCTCATGTCATCTCTGGCCGCAGTTTTCCGTTTACGTCCCTGTCCTACGAGCTGCGTATACTGTGGTGAGATTTTGATACTCGTAACGTTTGGGCCACATGTTTGCAGGTAAGTCCAGTTTCATATAAAGTAACAGCCTTAACAACTTCAGTGGCGTTTAGATGCGGAATTCTCAGTTTATTTGCAGTAACAATTCACACTTAACACACTAAACAAGGCAGTCAAGGCAACAATTTAAAGAAAACCTTAATTTAAACTCAAATTCTTATTTTGACAAAATTTTCGCAGATGAAAGAACGCAATGTTACGCAATAATCACATAAAAATAAATGAAATAGAATTTCATTTATTTAAAAACAACTTTCCAAAACTTTCCTTTTTAATGGCATTTACTATCGTTTTCAGCCAGTATGCTAGACAAATACATCACAGAAGAAATTAAACATTTTTTTTGCGGTGAGAAAGAAATTAAAAGAAATTAAAAAAAGAAATTAAACCATTTTTTTAAATAAATGAAATAGAATTTCATTTATTTAAAAAAAACATTTAAAAACTTTCCTTTTTTAATGGCATTTACTATCGTTTTCAGCCAGTATGCAAGACAAATACATCACAGAAGAAATTAAACCTTTTTTTAACTAAACTTCAATGTCCCTGACTGTACATTGAAATTTAGTTCATGTACATTAATATAATTGATAGAATCAGACATTCCTTCGCGGACATTCATTATATGTGTCTTCCCAAGCTTGAATAGCACCTCCCTCCCTCCCTCTATGGCGTGCACTATCCCATCACCACTAATCCCAACACCACTACACTAGTAAATATACACCACCGTCGATAATATTACAAATATTTCGCCTCTTAACCTAATGATGTTCCTCTTAGAGATGAAACACGTGCCATATTATCGACGATAGTGTGTCTTTCCTAGTGTAGTGGTATTGGGAATAGTGGTGTTGGGATAAGTAGATTTTTAATTTTTAACATCCATCATTAACATAATTTTCATTGAGGCTCTAACAATATTTCACAATATTGGAAAATATAGCCCAATGATTTCGTACATTTACGCGTTTATGATTTTATTTATAGCCTAAGAGAAAGACATGATAATTTAATGGCAAAGTTAGAATTATTTACTTTAGTAGTAGTAGTAGTAGTTTATTTACTTTACTTTAGTGATTAGCATTAATAATTCATCGCCACACAGCTATTCACAAGTCATCCGCTGAACATAGGCCTTCCCGAAGGATACATGGGGAATGTTTGTCATAGTTGCCAGTTACTACGATTGGCAGGCGGATTGTTAAATACTGAAACTAAAAAAAACTAAAACCGCAGAAATGAGAAAATACTCTTATAACTTATATTAATAATACCGTTCATACCTACATTCTTGCGTACCTTATCTGAAGTTTTTAATAATATTTGGCTACCACAGGATGTGAAAGTCACTCACCCATGCGCACGACGCAAATTTTAAGGTAACATTATTCCGAGGCTTTTTTATTCTATACCATGGCTTCCCCGCAATAAATATCACTGTGAAGGCAAACAAATTAAATGAATTTAGAACTACTATTACATATTATTATTATTCGTATTTATTATTATAATTGGCGTTAAAGCGTGTGTCGTCTTAAGGTCAATAAAGTCCAATATAATATAATATATAAAAATATTTTTGATACAGGGCTATTTTTCAAAGAGTAGCCAAATTTTAAACTTTAGTTCAAATATATAAATAATTAAATGATGTTATTGCAGTTTTTGAAAATACGAGTAAATTTATATTTATGTGCAACAACGTTTTTGCCTACTAATCGACCCTTAAAGTAGTGCATTACCACGCATTTTGAATTTAAAAGATAAAAATTATAGAATGTTTAAGATTTTTTTTAATAAGTGTTCTTCACCATTTGCCTATGTTACTTATTCTAACCTTCTCTGCAAAGGACAATGTCCAAAATCGCCCTGTGTAGTAAAAGCATCGGACATACACGATAATTAATTTTTTATTTTATTATGTTAGGTGCAAATACTTTTATAACACGGACTAGCTGCATGCAAAAATAAACATTAAAAAGTATTTTACTCGACTAATAACATTAATCGCCGCCATCTTCGCCAAACATCATGTGGTGTTGAAAAATGATTAGGGATGCCCAATCGATTGTAATCGACTTTTGAATTTAATGAAATACATTTTGAATTTATTTCGAATAAAGTTTCAAAAACAAGCTACAATAAAAATATAAAATTACCATTTCTTTATATTCTTTTATATTATTCCCTAAAAGTATAATTTAAAAAACCTACTATACCTAATGAATGAGGTCATACTCGATTTTGTATAGGTTAGTTAGAATAATGCTCTAAAATATTCGTAAAGATAATTATTCAGGATTTTCTAACGATAGTTTAGAAAGGATTGTATTTTACGTCTTACTAAACGATAACTTACGAGTTTTTCAACAATTAATATTAAAAAAACCACTTATCGTTACTGCATTAATTACAAATGCGTTCTTTAAAAAGAGCAATATTGTAGACTAGATACAGACGTTATTATTAATATTCTAACAAGTATGGAAGAAGTAGAGACGTACGTGTTATTATAAGTAAAGTAGGATATTGTCATACTTGTTATGGTATTAATATTATCGTATGACAGAAGATGATTTGTGATGTGATGTGTGTTTGTAACGTATGGTTATAATAAATCTTAGGAAATATTCATAATCCGGATCGTATTTGGCGCTCCTATTTTTGATATTACTAAATTGTCACTTGTCACTTGTCAGTCTCTCATGAAAAAAATACGATCTCCAAATCAATTCAAATCGAACATACTAGAATCGAATCTCGATTAAATCAAGCATTAACAAATCTATTTTTGATCAATCGCGACATTTTCAAAAATACCTAATACGGACAGAGAACATAATTATTGACGATAATTTACCGTAAATACAAATAATTGTATAGAAATATCATTAAATAAATTAACATAAAATCACGGTTGTATTTCTCAGAAGGAATAGGTAGAGGTGTGTAGTACTAAGTAATACGCCCCATGTAATAGAGAAACAAGCCAAACACCGGACACAAATCCAGACTCCGTGCTACTACTGGGAACTTCAAGTTATAAAAAAAAATTGTCATACCCTGGGATTGAACCCAGAACAGAACAGTTTTTCTTTCTGTCACAAGGAACAGATGTTCCACCCATGCAAAAGTATTTCTTGAATCGTTTGAAATATTTTGAATAAGTCCAACTCAGGTTTTTGATCGATTCATTGAATCGATGGAGTATTCTAAGTCGATATCAGAACATCGGATAAGGATTCTTCAGATCTACATCGATCTGGAAAATCGATTATTTTATTATAAACAATCGATTAAGCGATTTCAAATCGACATGCCTACTTTATACTGTCATCTATCACTCTGTCAAAATTACATTGGTTGGTCTCGTTTGCTTTTTGTAATTTTATCGGTGTTTTGGTGACTATCGGGACTATATATTGAACATTACGACTTGGCTATTTTAACGGACTCTGATTGCTTTCAAGAACGACTTACCTTGCCGTGATTTTCGGAACTGTGTACCGCTCATACGATAACCTAGCATTCATAAACGGACTTACGCATACGCAATGGAAAGTGTATTTTGTGTAAATTGCGGCTCTGCTGGTGGCTCAATGTTGTTGAAAGATGAACAGAGAAGCAATCGTGCAATATTGCTGTGATTGCATCGTTGTACGTCGAACCATCGGTTGCTACGCCCATGTTATGACCATCATCATTTAGAAGATGAACAATATACATGAAATTAACCTGTGTTTTATTTCTATTTCATAGTCACGCGTTTGAACAGCGCCGTCCAGACGCACACGCCTGCAAATACACTAGATAGTAGTCGATAATATTCACGCTGTTTAAGCGCACCCTGTTGAAAATTCGTTAAAACCGTGGTTGATACGCTCGCTGTTCGATGGCATGTCTAGCGGTGTGACTGAACCATCCTAAATCCTCTACATTTAGGTACTGGGTATCTCACCGTTTCGTATATGCTAATGACAACATCTAAATGCTAACAGCCATTATATACATACATTTTTATTTTTACATGAATACACAAACATTATCTCTCATTTCGAAACCAATGCTAAGAAAGCAGGTTTATTAACTAGATTCTATGCATTTATACGTTGCACTTACATACACTTAGGCTTTAGAACAAAAATAGCATACCTAATTATCTAGATAGGTACTAAAAATAGCTAAATGTTTTAGGATATCATTTTTCAGTTTGTAAAAAATCACTTGGAGCTATGAAAAACCGTAATATTCGTGGTTCAATTATAACCTCAAAATCTGATACTTTTTTTGAAATATATCTTTTATGCAGCTAGTCCGCTATAAAAATAAGATCATATAGGAATTTACTATTGATCGACAATAAAACACACAATTTTCCGATGCTCTTGATTCCAGGGCGAACAATGTATGGGAGCAGAGCAATGTCCTTTGGCCGGTTATTGCAAAATAATCCTATATACAACCTGCCTACTAGTATTGTTCCGGGTCTGGATGTTTGTCCTTGTGCAATAAATGTTTGTAAATTGCCTCCACGATACAGGAGAAATCCTAGTGTGAGGGTAACGTTTTTTTTTAATTTATATAAATATATAAAAACTATTAGGTCATTAGATTGCGCTTAAAATTTGAAGAAGTTCAATTACATAAACACAGATCACGTACAGAAGAATTATATATAAATATATGTCAGGCAGGCAATATTTCCAACACAAAAAAAAATAGTGTTAATCGACAAGTAACGAGTTTTTATCGTACTTTATGCTATATTACTGTGCTCCAGATGAATCTGCTTCTACTAACAATATGATTATAATGAAGAATGTATATAAAGTCGTAATAATAATGAAATACCTATGACTTTTGTTCAACTTGTAAAAAATACGGAAGTACAATATCAAGTACCTATATAATGTATCCGAGACAATAGGTTAAGTTGCGGCTCAGGCATCTCTTGTGTCACACTAATACCGCGAATTATTATATTTTCTATAAATTCTTTGAACTTTGAAACAAAATCCCGCTAAACTTAGGCTCGCCAATTCTTTTTTCTTGCCAACTCAAACGTGGCAAATATAGGGGAGGCCTATGTTCAGCAATTTTGACTTTTAATGGGCTAAAGGTAACTGTATCATTATCATCATCATTACAGGCCTCCACAAGTCCACTGCTGAACATAGCCCCCCCCCCCCCCCCAACGAACGCCACAAAGACAGTCCGAGCCACCTGCATCTATCAACTTCCTGCATGTCTTTCCATGTTGTCACTCCATCTAGTAGGGGACGCCCTACACTTCGCCTGCCGGTACGAGGCTGCCACTCGAGAACCTTTCTTCCCTTTCGGTTGTCGGTTCTTCGAGCTATATGGCCAGCCCATTGCCACTTCAGCATACTAATTCTTTGGCTACTGCGGATATCCTCGTTTTTAAGTCCATTACACAGAGAAACGCCGAGCATAGCCCTCTCCATAGCTCGCTGAGCGACCCAGAGCTTCCTCATACGGCCAGCAGTGAAGGACCACGTCTCAGATCCATAGGTCCTCACTAGCAACACGCACTGGTTATACAATCTAGTTTTGAGGTTCTGAGGTATGTCTGACAAAAAGATGTATCGTAATCTCCCGAACGCTGCCCAGCCGAGTTGAATCCTACGATTGACCTCTCGGTTAAAGTTGGACTAACCTAGTCGGACTATTTGTCCCAGCATATTCAACAACTTTGAGCTTAGTGCTCCCAACAACTACCGGCATAGGTGTGACTTGGACATTAAACATGATTTTTGTTTTGTCCATGTTCATCTTAAGACCTATCCGTTGGGGGCCACTATTGAGGTCATTGAGCATAGTGCTTAGGTCCTCCAGCGATTCTGCTATAAGGACTATATCATCGGCAAATCGAAGGTGAGTGATGTACTCGCCATTGATGTTAACACCGTATCCTTTCCAGTCCAGTAGGTTGAAAATATCGCCCAATGCAGCGGTGAAGAATTTCGGGGATATTACGTCACCCTGTCTTACACCTCTCTGCAGTTGGATAGGTTTCGTACTCTATTTCTGTACTCAGAAAGCTATCGTAGCCCTACTATATAAATACATCAGCACTTCGATATACCGACAGTCAACTTGGCGCCGCTGAAGGGACTGCAGCATAGCCCAAATTTCGATGAAGATAAAGGCTTTCTCATAATCCACATATTAAAGACAAAGTGGCAGATTCTACTCTTCGGTCTTCTGTACAATTTGACGAAGGGTATGTATTTATCTAGAAACCAGCTTCTTTGGGAGGCCGGAAGTCGTCGAGTCTGCGTGCGAGACGATTGGTAAGGACTTTCGAAAACACCACATAGACGCGGCTCAGAAGGGAAATCGGTCTGTAGTTCTTTAAGAGAGCGTTGTCAACTTTCTTGAAGAACAGGACCACCGCACTTCTGCTCCACGCCTCTGGAGTAGTGCCACCATGGAGGACGGAATTATCACCCAGGCACTTGCCGTTTTTAAGGTTCTGGAGAGCCATTCTAATCTCGTTCAGACTGTTGTCCGGGATATCATCGGAATAGTATCGTATAAGACTTGTTCCTTTGTTCCTGGGTCGTTACTCACACTTACGTGTGATTACAACGATGACGTGTAGAGCTGGCCATAGAACCTCTCAATCTCACTCAAAATCTCAGGTGTCCTGGAAGCGATACTCCCACATTCGGTCTTCAGCTTCGACAATTGGCTTTTTCTGGCAGACAGATCTCTGGCAAAGACTTTGGAGCCTTGGTTCCGCTCGATCGCTTCTTCAATACGACCAGTATTAAAGTAGCGTAAGTCCCGCCGCACGCATTTGGAGATCTGTTTGTTCAGTTGTCTGTATGCTATCAAATATATTGAAGACTACAGCTTCATTTCCCGTCCAACAGCCATCAGATTAAGAGTGTGATCGGAGAGTTTTTGTGTTCTTCCACGGCGGGTCTTGCAAAACTTAGCTCCGACCACATGGACAGTTTCCACGAGCTTGTCATTTATATCGTCCACTGCATTGCAATCTTCTAGGTACTGAAAAGGGGTTTGTAACTGGAGCTGAAAGCTGTTGGGACTTTGGATAAGAGCACGAGGGTGACGGAGCGTTGACTTCATTAGACGAAACCTCTCCAACTTAAAGTTTAGGTTCAGTGTGCCCTTAACCATTTGGTGATCGCTACCAGTTTTCACCCTCGCGATCACTGAGACACCACTGAACAGTTTTTTTTATAGGATAAGGATGACAAACGAGCACACAGTCCAGCTGATGGTAAGTGGTTGCTGCGGCCCATAGACATCTACATCTATCCTCTATTACAAATCAAAATGTAGATGCGTTGTCACCCGTGAGGACTAAGATGGAATACCTCACTTCCAGTAAAAAGGGCCTCCGGCCACCTGCACTCACCAAGCGAAACGCAGAGGTAAACCTCTACTTCACGCTGGTTTTCTGTGAGGTCGTAGTACCACCCCGGTTCGAGCCGGCCCATCCGTGCGACAGCAAAAGCTGCCGCGTGGCTCTACCACTGTTAAAAACAGTTGTCGTCTGGTCTTCATAATGAAATCAATCTCATTTTTTGTCGAACTGTCGGGGCTCGACCACTTCCTGTGGGGTCACTTCTGGAAGAAAGAGTTCATTATAAAGAGTCTTTCTCTATGAAGTCGGCCAGCTACTGGCCCTTTGGGTTCCGTTGCCCTATTCCGAATTTCCCTATTTTCAGCCAACCGTTTTATCTTGTGCCTAGTTAAGCGTTAAAGTCACCCATTGACACCATATAGTGGGTTTTAGAGGAATGCATGGCTCTAGAGATACCCTCATACATTTCCTCCATCTACTCGATGGGATATGCCGAGGTTGGTGCGTCAGTACTCAGGGTGCGTGCGTTATATATTGCCAGGTGGAGTCGTCGTAGGTGGCAAGCTAACCTCCACCGGAGATTCTTAGGACTCCCGGCCCCGCCGATACCATGGTTGCCACCGTAGCCAGGAATAGCGGGGCCGCAGGGGACTGGGGGCCGTTTATTAGTGTCGTTGCTCATGGGGAGTATATTCCCATAGTTGCCACGCTTGGCCAGCGGTGTGGCAACCGCAGTTTTTTATTACTGTTTGCTATTATTAGAAAGATGCTGCTCCCCATCTTCTGCCTCAGTTTTCCTGTGTCGCCTTTTACGGCACCACGGGAAGATATGGGGCAGTGGGTATTCTTACCCGCCACTACACGGGGGTATAGGTGTACACTACACGGTAACAGTATGTAAGTTATAAACGTTGTCCATTGAAGACAAGATCTTTCCTGTAACCAGTGTAAAAATGATGTGCCAACATATATAGTATAACAATTTCGTACGGTAAAGATGTCTCTTTCCTTTTTTTACATACATACATTCATATGAAGTCTTGATATCGTCGCGTCGTATTAACAAAAACGAATTTTTAATACCAGTTATGCTATTAAACGTTACTAATATTCACTTAACCACTTCTGGTAAGCTTAATATGTTTGTGTTGGAAGTGGTTCACGACAGTAGTCGAAGCTTGGCATTAGGCTACTGACGCTTCTAATATATTATTATTGATAAACGTACAAATACAAATTAATGAATTACTAGCGTCTATTAAAATAAAGTGTCATTTAAAATAATATAATATTTATTTCATGGCAAGATAAGATAATTACACTACGTCAAAAGGGGTCGTGACGGAAAAATCTTACACTTTTCTCTCCTAACCCCTCATCCACCAAATTCGTACCGTTCAATAAAGAACTTCGTTCCAATATAAAAAATGTAAATTTTATCTTTATAATATTTGTAACTTACCAATAGAAACGAGGACGAGTATCGCTGGAAATCCAAAACCAAGTGCGTAGCAAGCGTCGTCACCAAAGCACATGACGCTGCGTCGCAGCGCCGGCGTCACCACCATGCCCATAAAGCCGCCCAGGTTTACCGTGCAGTAAAACGTCGAGAAGAACTTCTGCAGGCGCTGATTATCTTCAGGTAGTCGAAACTATCGAACATTTTTATCGCAGTTAGTATTAAAGACCACCTTGACTTCACATACATAGATGTTGTTTAATGACCATTTGGCCATTAGAGTTTGTTTAACACACAATGCTGCTATTAATTTTATGCTATCTTTTGACTTTTGATTAGTCAATTGCTTTTTATCATAGGTTGAATTTCGTGATTAGTAGCAAAAATGGATTCAACACGAAAAGATTTCGTGCAATGAATTTTTATGATTTTGAAAGTTAACTCTCTCCATAAGATTCAACTCTTCAACCTAATTTAAGCATCTTAAGGCTTAAATTAGGTTGAAGAGCGTGACCGTGTTTCTCTTCATTATAAAATTCTTGAAGGTCAACCCCTCAGCTACGATCACTGAGGAAAATGTGTCTACTGTCAGGCAACTAATTGAAGTAAAATACCGCATCACCTACACAGCATATAGGAAATTCGAAGACATTTGGGTATTTGTATGAGCCAAATGCGGTCGATTGGTGTAAAAAAAGTCGTTAAATTATTATCACGGATATGTAATGCAATTTACAATGCATGACATTGCACGAAACTATATTGTTAAATTTTGCATGAAACTATATTGTTTAAATTGCATGAAAGTATATATTGTTAAATTCCGGCAAGAAAGCAACAGTGGTCTGTAGTACTGTCTGTGGGTATCCGATGGCGGCAACAAACCAACAAAAATTAGGCAATTCTTTTGTTTTTGTTCTTTTGTTTGCATTCCTTTGTCAGACGGGTCCTGTCTAAACGATCTCACAGCAAAAGACAGTTAATGCTGAGTGGTACGCCAGCATTTGTTTACCCAGTGTCTTTGAAAAAGTTAGGGAAAAAGGAATAGGAATTCGTATGCCAATTATTCGGCTCACACCGCGAACAAGACTAATTTGATTGAATCTCTTGATTATAGGCTTCTGAATAGGTGGAGCTTGTAAACGCACACAATCTAGACCTCGTAACACGTGATTCCTTTATTATTCCAAAAACTAATGATTTGATGTTTGACATTTACAGAGCGAAAATAAGCCGAAAAAACTTTTAACCAAAAAAAACCAGAAAAAGTTGCTCTCAGACCCATGGTCCTTCTGTTTTTAAAAATGGTTGGAACGAATGAAAAAGTGTTTAAAATGTAAGAAGAATACTTTAAAAAGTAAGTAACCGTATTACATAGTTTACATATAAATTGTTATATTCGTATTTATTTAATTTTTGGATTCATTTGATCTCGTAGTTTCTACGAGAAAAGAGAACCGATTTAGGTTTTATGGGTGGAAGTGGAACGGAGCCGTGCTTTGTGGCAATCTATCGGGGTCTATGTTACTATGTACAGTCTACTTGTGGCTCACTGTACTAATTATGTTATGTAACGGTGTAACTCAACCATTAAACCTTTGGTTGACTTCGAGCTCAGAAGGCTGAAATGCGTTGTTGCCTATGACAACAAAGATAGAATACTTCATAGTTTAAAATAAGACTGTCTTACCATATCCTACAAATCGTAATAATTAAATACACCTCTGTTTAAAAGCCAGTGGCAGTAACAAGTAAGTCAGTGTAGAAAACAAGGGTGACGTAGAGCCTACTGAGAGGTTATTGGTAACCTTGATTTGGTTGAAACCAATCGTGTGAGTTTCGTTGGTATAGTGGTAGTGAGTGCGTCTGCAAATTATGTCGTCCTGTTTACAGATTCCAGATCGTCGTCGAAAAAATCAGTAATTATTATTTTATGTCATATATTCTCACAAGTAGCTCTAACTCAGGAACATAATGGTTTTATACCTCCAAGTGCCTCTAAAAGCACCGTATTACCGTCGGTACTGCGCCTGATTCCCTTTTTTTCCGATCTTGTCGCATTGCCGACCCATTGGACTGTGAGGAAATAGCATGTGCACCTGTGCTTGCGAACACTCATACACTATACTAATATTGTGTAGGTACGTAGGTAGGTAAGAGAATCAAATTGATAAATTCTAAGAATACTGTAATTAAATACTATTTCTACTGAAAATTATTTTTGACCCTTTATTCGATGTCACTGGAGGCTTTATCCATTATAGGATTGTAATAAGATCATACCATGTAACCTGAAGATAATTGGAAACCGTCACTTGAAACCAACCTGCATACCAACGGAAACATTAACCTTTCTTAGTTAACATATTTTATTAAGCAGTCTAGTAATCTGGTCTAGAAGTCTCGCTTGAACAATCGTCACGAGTCTTTCATTTACCCAAAGTTCCCCAACATAGCAATTGACCAAATAATCTCGATGGCAGACATTCGGTCTGGAGGACATTATAATTATAAGTAGCGGCACGAAAGTCTAGCGGTGACCGTTATTGCGCATAAGTCGCGCTGATTGACTCGTGCGTATCGTTCGCACGCGCTGATTGGCTCTCCAGTCGCATTCGTGCAATTTAATTTGTGCGCGTCCTCTCCACGTTTCGATCAGAGCTAGATTTACATGCCGCGACTTGTATTTGTATATAGCTACTACAAATAAATAAATAATGATAATAGTAATACGGCTACCTGGTCTCCACCAAATGCAGCAACACATGGTTTTATACCGCCAGTGCCTGTTGCAATTAATGCCAAACCTATCATTGAAGTAGAACTGAAAACAATATAACAGTTAACGATTAATTAAAAAAAATATTAATCAGGTAACATTCAATTCAATATATTAATCAATTCAAAATATACAACCTTAAATCAATTCATTAATTAATTTAAGGTTGTATATCATTTTGAAACTGTAGTTACACATGCCTTGAGTAATTCCATCTTAGTTCTCATATGTGCGTTATATCAATCACGTCGCTATTAACAATAAAAAGCTACGGGCCATATAGCCCAATACCTAGTTTGGTGTCGAAGGATAAACTAGTGATTTTTGTAAACGTGGATTTTTCTTTAGTAGTTAAATTGTAATGAAAAAAGAAACGAAACGTTATGTAGCGAGTACATTATGCATGTTGTTTCTTACGACCTCGCACATTTGAAAAAGTATGAATAGATTTCAAAAAGACTGAATTTTGTAAAAATATTGAAATAATGTAAATAAACCAAAAACTAAAAAAAGGAATAATATAAAGTATAATACGAAAGTTTTTAAAAAAATCTAGTAATGTCTGCAACTTATTACGCATGCATTACTGTTCATTATAATTATTTGATTCATTTTTTGATTGTGTAATAAAGGTATTAATACTACGCTCATGATGTAACTGCAAAACTATAACAATTTTTTTTTATACGTGGTAGAGCCATGCTGCAGCTATATTATGGTTGTAGCACGAATGGGTCGGCTCGACCGGGGAAGGACCACGCTCTCACAGAATACCAACGTAAAATAGCAGCTTAACGCTGCTGTGTTTCGTATGGTGAGTGTAGAGAACCGGAGACCCTTTTTACTGGAAACGAGGCATTCCATCTTAGTCCTCACGGGTGACAACGCATCTGCATTTTGATTCTTAATCGAAGATAGGTGTAGTTGTCTATGGGCCACAGCAACCACTTACCATCAGGTGGACTGTGTGCTCGTTTGTCACCCTTATCCTATAAAAAAAAAAAAAAAAAAAAAATTTAAAACTTGCGAAAAGTAACTTGATATTTTCGTTTCAAAACAACAAATACTTTGGTAGACACCTAGCCTAGAAATTGTCGCACTATTAAAAACATACAAACTGCCAGTCCATAGGCTGCTGTAGTATGTGGACTGTAAATTTTTTTATCACTTCAATTTTTAAAGGAATATGTTACTTATTAAACAAATATTTTATACTTTTCTACTTACGTTGGGGGTAGCATTAGTGGTGGAATAGCCGAGAAACATGTTAAGATTGTCCCAATCAAATATATAATTGAAAAGTATAAGATAACTCTGAAATGTGAAATATTTGTTCGTAAATGCTGAGTTCAACTTACATAAAACGATTAATAAAACATTTATTATGTAATAAATTTCAGAAAAAGCAAACAGTTCCCCTGATGGTAAGTGCATGCTTCGCCCATAAACATCATCATCATCATCATCATCATTACAGCCTTTCATAAGTCCACTGCTGAACAAAGGCCTCCCCCAAGGAATGCCACAAAGCACGGTCCTGAGCCACCTGCATCCATCGACTTCCTGCATGTCTTACCAGGTCGTCACTCCATCTAGTGGGGGATCGCCCTACACTTCATCTACCGGTACGAGGCTCCCACTCGAGAACCTTTCTTCCCCATCGGTTGTCGGTTCTTCGAGCTATATGGCTGGCCCACTGCCACTTCAGCTAACTAATCCGTTGGGCTATGTTGGTTACTCTGGTTCTACTGCGGATATCCTCATTTCTAAGTTTATCGCGCAGAGAAACCCCGAGCATAGCCCCATCCACAGCTCGCTGAGCGACCTTGAGCTTCCTCATACGGAACGCAGTGAAGGACCACGTCTCAGATCCGTAAGTCATCACTGGCAACACGAACTGGTTGTACAATTTCGTTTTCAGGTTTTGAGGTATGTCTAACGAGAAGATGTATCGTAGTTCCCCGAACGCTGCCCAGCCGAGTTGAATCCGTCGATTGACCTCTCGGTCGAAGTTGGACTTACCTAGTCGGACTATTTGTCCCAGGTAAACATACTCGTCAACAACTTCGAGCTTAGTGTTCCCAACAACTACCGGCATAAGTGTGATATGGACGTTAAACATGATTTTTGTTTTGTCCATGTTCATCTTAAGACCTATCCTATTGAGGTTATTGAGCATAGTGCTTAGTTCCTCCAACGATTCTGCCATAAGGACTATATCGTCGGCAAATCGAAGGTGAGTGATGTACTCGCCATTGATGTTAATACCGCATCCTTTCCAGTTCAATAGCTTGAAAACGTCTTCCAATGCAGCGGTGAAGAGTTTCGGGGATATAACGTCACCCTGTCTTACATCTCTCTGCAATTGGATAGGTTTCGTGCTCTAATTCTGTACTCGGATAGCCATCGTAGCTCTACTGTACAAACACTTCAACACTTCGATATACCGACAGTCAACCTGGCACCGCTTAAGGGACTACAGCACCGCCCAAATTTCGACCGAATCTAAGGCTTTCTCATAGTCCACATACGCAAGGCAAAGTGGCAGATTGTATTCCTCTGTCTTCTGTACAATTTGCCGAAGGGTGTGTATGTGGTCCATGGTACTAAAGCCTTTTCGGAAACCGGCTTGTTCGGGAGGCTGGAATTCGTCACGTCTGCGTGCGAGACGATTCGTAATGACTCTCGAAAACAGCACGTAGACGCGGCTCAAAAGGGAAATCGGTCTGTAGTTCTTCAGGAGAGCGTTGTCTCCTATCTGGAAGAACAAGACCACCGCACTTCTGCTCCACGCCTCCGGTGTAATGCCACCACGGAGGACAGAATTAAAGAGCTTCTGAAGGACTTCAAGTACCGGTTTTCTACCCGCTTTCAGAAGCTCCGCTGTAATTCCATCCTCGCCCGGGGACTTGCCGTTTTTAAGGTGCCGGAGAGCCATTCTAATCTCGCTCAGACTGACGTCCGGGATATATTCGGAATAGTGTCGGATAAGACTCGCTATTGGATCGTTACTCACACTTGCGTGTGGCTCCAACGATGACATGTACAGCTGCCCATAGAACCTCTCAATCTCCCTCAAAATCTCAGGTGTCCCGGAAAAGATGCTGCCACATTCAGTTTTCAGCTTTGACAGTTGGCTCTTTCTGGCAGACAAATCCCTGGCAAAGACTTTGGAGCCTTGGTTCCGCTCGATCGCTTCTTCAATACAAGCTGTATTGAAGTTGTGTAAGTCCCGCCGCATGCATTAAGAGATATGTCTGTTCAGTTGCCTGTATGCTGTCTGTCTGTAAATCTGTTGAAGAATGTAGCTTCATCTCCCGTCTCACAGCCATGAGATTAAGAGTGTGATCGGAGAGTTTTTGTGTTCTTCTGCGGCGGGTCTTGCAGAACTTAGCTCCGACCGCATGGTCGGTTTCCACGAGCTTCTCATTTATATCGTCCACTTCATTGCAGTCTTCTAGGCACTGACGGTTTTGTAACTCGAGCTGAAATATTTCGGGACTTTGGAACAGAGTACGAGAAGGACGGAGCGTCGACTTCATTAGACGAGACCTCTATAACTTAACGTTTAGGTTCAGTGTGCCTCTAACCATTCGGTGATCGCTACCAGTTTTCACCCTCGCGATCACGGAGACATCACTGAACAGTTGTCGTCTGGTCGTCATAATGAGGTCAATCTCATTTTTTGTCGAACCGTCAGGGCTCGACCAAGTCCACTTCCTGTGGGGCCGCTTCTGGAAGAAAGAGTTCATCATAAAGAGTCCATCTTTCTCCATGAAGTCGGCCAGCTGCTGGCCCCTTGGGTTCCATTGCCCTATTCCGAATTCCCCTTCTTTCAGCTCACCGTTCTCTCTTGTGCCTAGTTTTGCATTGAAGTCTCCCATTAACACCGTATAGTGGGTTTTGGAGGAATGCATGGCTCTAGAGATATCCTCATACATTTCCTCCACCTCCTCATCGGGATGTGCCGAGGTTGGTGCGTAAACCTGTATGACCTTCAGCGAATACCGTTTGGTGATTCTGAGTATAAGGTACGCGACCCTCGTCGACACACTCTCAATCTTTACAACGTTGTTAACGAGAGACTTGTAGACGATAAATCCGACACCTCCTTGGGACAGATGGTCGCCCTACCGGTAATAGAGCAAGTTGCCGAATTCAAGGATTACCGTGTCCTCCACCTCTCTTCGGACCTCGGATAATCCTATAATATGCCAGCGTAACTTATCTATCTCTTCTTCCAGCTCCACGATCTTCTCGTCAGTCCTCAGGGTGCGTGCGTTATATGTTGCCAGGTCGAGTCGTCTTAGGTGGCAACCGAACCTCCACCGGAGATTCTTAGCACCCCCTGCCCCGCCGCTACCATGGTCGCCACCGTGGCCAGGAATAGCGAGGCTGCCGGATACTGGGGGCCGTCTCTTTGTTGCTCTTATCATTGGTGGGTATTTGCCATAGTTGCCACGCTTGGCGAGCGGGTTGGCAACCGCAGTTTTTTTTATTGTACTTTTGCTGTTATCAGGAAGATGCTGCTACCCATCTCTTGCCTGTTTACCTTTGTCGCCTTTTACGACAGCCACGGGAAGATATGGGGTAGTGGATATTCTTAACCGCCACTACACGGCACATTACATATTGTATAAACCCATAGGCCCATAAACATATTGTATATTTATTATATCTATCTTCGATTAAGAATTAAAATGTAGAATTGTCACCCCTGCGGACTAAGAATACCTCATTGCCAGTGAATATGGTCTCCGGTTTCTTATACTCACCCTACGAAACAGCAACAGCAAGGCCAGGTTGGACAAAAATATCTACGTCTATTCTCGATTAAAACTGCAGATGCGTTTTCAACCCTGAGGACTAAGATGAAATGCCGAGTTTCCAGTGAAAAGGGTATCCGGTTCTCTACACTTCATCATCACGCTGCTATTTCACGCCGGTATTCTGTGAGAGCGTGGTCCTTCTCTGAGCGAACCGACCTATTCGTGCTACAACTTTTAACTCGAAAGTGCAGTATAGCTCTTCCACGGTTAGTTAGGACAATGGTTCACAGCTATACTAGGATCCGATAGGTGGCGCTGTAATCAGCAACAAATGGGATATTTAAGGACCAAAGTATCATATTCACACAATATAATATGGTAGTTTAGTGTAAATCAATGGCGTAGCAAGGGGTGCTACGTTGCTATGGTTCCAGACGACAGATTTTAGGGGGCGGCATTTCACGAAAATAATATCAGCACTCGCTTCAACTTTTTGAATGGTGAGTAAAAATCTCAAATAAAATAGCTCTTCCTAAATAATCTTGAAAGTACATTCAAAACATGGTAAGTTCTGAAAATAGTTATAATATGTCGTCACACAGTTGCCAAAAGCAATATAGGGATAAGCTTAGTAATCGTTATTTTGTTTTATTATTTTTCAATTGATGTACATAGACTATGAAACACTTTTACAGATTTAATGGTTTTTTAAGATTCTTGCGAAAATGAGTGCGGAAAGAGTGGCACTCCCACTGCCACTGTTTTCAAGTTGAGGAGATCAAATACTTACTTGTATCGGCCTATATAGTTATCAGCTAAAATAGCTCCCATTAATGGCATTGTGTAACACATCATAATGAATATATGATATACAACGGTTGCGGCGTTCTCGTGTAAACATAAAACATTTCTTAAATACAAAGATAGAATTGCTGTAAACGATAAAATGTATAGGTTTACACTGTAATTATTTTTATTACAATCATAAAGAGATGTAGATCATGTAGAGCCAGCACGTGGTGCACCCTGATATATTAAGAACGGGTCCCTGGCATTCAAGAAATAAAATACCTAATGTTAATTTCAAATTCCCACGTGGATATCGATGCCGCGTTCACCAAGCCGTCTGAGCGAAGTAAGTACAGGCAATTTTCAAGTTGTGTATTCCTTTTGGCACAAACTTGAAAAAACCAATATCCAGCAGTGTATTAAAAAGCCTTAAGGACTTCAGGTATACGGCTATTAAGGAAAGAAGAAAGAATCAGAGATTTATTCAGCAACTAATTGAAACGTAGTATCAATGATTTATTAATCACACAATACATAACTTAAACCATGGACCTAGTTTTAATTGGCACCCAGTTTTATTTGCTTTTGTTGCATTTATTTCATTTGATTTTTTGACAAACATTTTTGGGAAAATTTGTGTAACTACTGCTCATTTAGTTGTGAAATACATTCAAAATATATGCAAAGCTGCCTTTTATGTTGTTTTTTTTTTTGGAAAACAATAAATACCACTAACCTCATTAACAAAAAATCTTATTGAATACAAGAGAATAGAATAGACCTATAGAATAACCCTAAAATGAACGTATTAGACGAACATAATATAGAAGACTTAGATGAAATGCCCGGTTACCAATAAAAATCTCGTCACTCACTATACGAAACAGTACAGCGCTATTATTATGTTGCTACTTTAACATGTTACTCGATATGTCTCTGTATTTAAGCATGGTCGTATGAGTGAGGTTCTACCATATGCAGTCAAAATTCAAAATTAAAAAATATGTAAATAACAAATCAAAAATATCAAACGCGCAATCTACATCAATCTACATTTACATCGCAACTACATTTCAATCGCTCGTTTAAATTTGAATGATTTGGAATAAAATAAATTATCTACTAACTCCTCAATCCACAAAAAGAAAATCTCTCGCAAAACTCAGTCGCTATTATACAAAAAATAGATGTCGGGTGACTGTGCAGCATAGTATACCGTGTGCAACACCAAACCAAGGGATTACCTTAAATAAATAGAATATACTTAACTTTAAAACAATTATAAATAGTGACAAATATGGATATACCGTGTTTTCAAAATATAAAAGATTGTGACGCATAGATTATTGATGTGACATTTAAAGACAAGAAGTAGATATAGTTTGAGTATATATATAATATAATATACTCTTTGTATATATGTATGTATGTACATATACATATATACAACTGGTCCAAATAGTGAAGTCAAAAGAAAATTTTAAATTCCTTACATCTGGGGGTATCCGAAAATACCCAATGTATGTTATCCGATTTTTGTAGTAATTTGTTTTGTATTTTTTTAGCGTTTTCTGCCGGTGGGACTTCAAATATTCATATCTTTTTTGTAGTACGAGTAGTTATTTTTCAGATTTTTTTCTATTGACATAATTGTCTTAAATGATACTTTTACACATAAAATAATAAAATTCCTAGTTACTCCAAGTTACTCAAAAAAGTATCGAAAGTAAGGATTTTGGTTTTTAGTGGGGTAAACTCAAATTTTCAACTTCAATTTAAAAATACAAAAATGAATTTCCATAGGTTATAAAAAACGTCACCAAAAACAATTATTGCCTCACCTGTCCATGGTGACTATAGTCACCAAACGACATCTTCGGTTTAAACTTGTACAGCGCAAAAGATAGTTGTTATTAATACAGTAATAAGTTATAGATGGTGCTATATGAAATTTGTCAGGAACACAGCGCTTAAACTTATTATTTCATATTTAAGTAATAGAAAGCAGAAGATTATTATCAACGGTAAAAGTTCTTCCGGGTCACCGGTACTAATGCTCCCTCAGGGCTCGATTCTCGGCCCATTCCTGTTTCTGGTGTATATTAATGACTTACCTTACCTTGTAAGGGATAGTCATGATATAGTATTATTTGCTGATGATACTTCCTTGATTTTTAAACTTAAACGTCAATCATTTAAATGTGACAAAGGGAAACATTTTCAGTAGTAATCGTTTTTGACAGTCTCACGCGGACGTAAAAAAATTGTGACATTTAATGCGCGGACAGGTCAGGCGAGAATCACTCGCGCGGGGTGGACGGTTAAGTGGGGCTATTTAAGACGTTAAAAAAAATTGGTACTTAATAGGCTATTATTCGCTGTAATCGGCCTTCGAAGGTGGATAGGCTAGAAATCCACAAAAACATTTTAGTTTAAAAAAAATTATTTTGCCTATTTTTGTCATTATTAAGCCGCGTCTCCACCAAAGTTTTGTTGTCAACACAACATTTGCCAACAAAACTTGTTTCCATTTTCGGCGGCAACATCAAACGAATACGCTTGTTGCCAACATTTGTTCCCTCGGTGGAGACGCTTGTTGACAGAAACATTTGTTGTGTTGACAACAAAACTTTGGTGGAGACGCGGCATTATGTAAATTTTGACGGCTCCGTGGCGCAGTGGCTTAGCAATGAGTTGCTTCGCTGGGGGCCGCGGGTTCGAATCCCGCACGGAACAAGTATTTGTATGGCCTACAAATAATTGTTCCGGGTCTGAATGTTTGTCCTTGTGCAATTTGTGTTTGTAAACTGCCTCCACGATACAGGAGAAAATCCTACTGTGGGGGTAACGTTTTTAAAAAATAAAAAAAATAAGTAATAAAATGTTAAAAATAGAGGGTTGAAAACCCGTTTAACAATGCTCAAATTATGAATTATTGTGCTGTACGTGTATTGCTCGTGTTATTTTACTCACGTAAAATAACAGCCTGATGGCAGGACGTGTCCCCAGTTGCAATCAATTTTGCGAACCAGTAACCCGGAATCCGGATCAAGTTGACAAAGACGTGGAAGAATTCCAAGGGGGCCGTCTACAAGTTCAAGAAGAATAGCCACACGAACTGGAGTTCCACGAACTTCGGTTCTAAGAATTCTTTATAAAGTTGAGCCTTAAAATATGCTGTAAACCAGTTTTAAGATTTTAACTTGTTTGTTTTGCAGAGGGGTACCATGCGTACCAAACCCCGCGCGTCCAGCAACTATAGGAATCTGTTTACCGAAGAAGAGTAGTTTTTTGTGAAACCATGTTACAGATATCTGAAGAAGACTCTGATTTCTTCACAAAAATATTTCGGACAGACAGATTTGAAATTACAGATTAAAAATTAATTTGAAATTACAAATTACACAGATTCGAAAGTACTGGAATTTTTAATATCCTCAATTACTATAGCGGAGCCATAAAAACCCAAGGCAAGGGCATCGAACACCACTTTAGCGTTAACTTGTGGTCTGGGATCCTAAATAGAGAATTTATCGGTCCCTTTGAATTACCGTCCAGGTTAGATGAACGGACTTGTAAATTTTTTACAAAATCACTTTTATGAATTGTTGGAAGAAACGAACGTAGCGGTACGACAACAAATGGTTTTTCAAAATGACGGTGCTTCTTGGCACTACGAAAGACAGAACAGCATCTCAACGAAACTTTTTGACAAAACCCATCGAATGACCTGCACGTTCGACAGACCTAAACCCTATCGACTTTTATTTGGGGATTGTACAAGGAGCTGGTGTATGCGCGGGAAGTAAATAATGAAGAAGAACGCGCGCAACACGTAACAAAAACCCTGTGGTGCCCGTTAAGTACGTTATCAGGATCAGTGTTCAAACCTATAGAAATAATTTTGTTTTAAAACTCTAACACCATTTTTTTTAAAATTTTATTAAAAAATATTTTTTTAATTTTATGTGGTTTTATTGCTTCTTACTGACACTAGCCGATGCTAAAGCTAAGTAAAGCGGGGTCTTTGACAATCCTCTTACTCTCCAGACAATGCAGAGGTAATAAAACCACATACAATTTGCATACAATTTTTTTTTTTAATTAAATAAAAAAATATCGTCCGAGTTTTTAAAAAAAAGTTATTTCTATACGTTTGAATAATGATTCTGATAACATACTTAACGGGAACCACAGGGTTTTTGTTACATATTGTATATATATATACTAGCTGACCCGGTACTAGCAAACGTTGTTATGCCCTTTCCGACTATTTGCTTCATGTTTCCGACGATCATTTGCTGTCCTAAAAAAACTCCTGAAATTAGCAAAAAAAAATTGAGGGTCACTTATCGGGATAAGAACGGTCCCATCTCCAAACTGCACACAGTGTGCAAAATTTCATTGAAATCAGTTCAGTAGTTTAGGAGGTTTTTATATATAAAGAAAAATTCATCAGATTTCTACTAAAATTATTCATTCAAGTAAGATTTTAAATTTTAATACTACGACTATCCTCAAACTAGTTATGTAAAAAATTACCATGATAGAAATTAAGGGGTTACATATTTAAATGACCCACATCTCATTTCTTTGCTTTAGACGCGAACCTATATACTATAAGTAGGTAATATATATAATTTAAATTCGAACCACTGAATGTATGGAGGTTTTCATTAACTCAATAGTTGCTCAACAAAATAGTTCACAAACCCCAGCGATTGCTTTTTAATTAATCACTCGGAAAACTATCGACCGACAGACCTAGGCTAACTATGAATATGCCCCCCCCCCCCCTACCGGCTTCAGTCTGTGCCTGCTCAGTCGACAATCGCCAATGAATACCTGCAACACCAGGGAAATTTCAAGTATATTGCTGGCTTTTTAAAAATAGTAAGGTCATTTCTTGAAGGTCTCTAAGTCATATCGGTCCGAAACTTGCGAGAAAGAAAACTAGTAAATCACACAGTCATGGTGTACCGCCAAGCATCCAGATAGTTTGGATGGTACTGTGAGTTTTGTCCTGATGTGCGTTCGACTATTTGGCAGCTAGAATTATTTTGAACAATTTGTCTAAGTACTCCCCGTGAAAAATGCGATAGAAAATGGTATTTCTCTTCGCAGTGTCATTGAATCGGAAAATTGAAAGGACTCGGTCGTGTACAATTTGCTAGATGCGGTCAAGGGGAAGGAGCTGGCACTGGGGTACTCCGGTCCAAAAATGAGAACAGTACTCCTTGTGAGGGCGAAATTGCGCCTTGTAAAGTTGCAAACGGTGTGCTGGCATGAAATATTTTCCCACTCTGCTGAGCACGCCAAGCTTTTTAGTGTCCTCTTTATAAGTGACCGCGGAACTGTACGTCATTCGATATGTCGATGCCGAGGATTTCAATGCTGGCTGAGGCAGCATAAGGAACGCCCTGAAATTGTTATTTTAATAAAATCTAGTTAATGTAAATGTTGCCGTGTAGTGGCGGTTAAGAATATCCACTACCCCATATCTTCCCGTGGCTGTCGTAAAAGGCGACAAAGGTAAACAGGCAGGAGATGGGCAGCAGCATCTTCCTGATAACAGCAAAAGTACAATAAAAAAAACTGCGGTTGCCAACCCGCTCGCCAAGCGTGGCAACTATGGCAAATACCCCCCAATGATAAGAGCAACAAAGAGACGACCCCTAGTCCCCGGCGGCCCCGCTATTCCTGGCTACGGTGGCGACCATGGTAGCGGCGGAGCAGGGGGTGCTAAGAATCTCCGGTGGAGGTTCGGTTGCAACCTAAAACGACTCAACCTGGCAACATACAGCGCACTCACCCTGAGGACTGACGAGAAGATCGTGGAGGTGGAAGAAGAGATAGACAAGTTACGCTGGCATATTATAGGATTATCCGAGGTCCGAAGAGAGGGGACACGGTAATCCTCGAATCCGGCAACTTGCTCTATCACCGGGAGGGCGACCATCTGTCCCAAGGAGATGTCGGATTTATCGTTCACAAGTCTCTCGTTAACAACGTTGTAAAGATTGATGGTGTATCGACGAGGGTCGCGTACCTTATACTCAGAATCACTAAACGGTATTCGCTGAAGGTCATACAGGTTTACGCACCAACCTCGGCACACCCCGACCATGAGGTGGAGGAAATGTATGAGGATATCTCTAGAGCCATGCATTCCTCCAAAACCTACTATACGGTGTTAATGGGAGACTTCA